CCCTCCAGCATCGAATGGGCCCTCACAGGCCTGAAATGGGCCCCTCTCAGGCCTCAAATAGGTCCTCTAGGGCCTGAAATGGGCCCTCTAGGGCCTGAAATGGACCCTCTCAGGCCTGACATTAGCCCTCTCAGACCTGAAATGGGCCCCTCTCAGGCCTCAAATAGGTCCTCTAGGGCCTGAAATGGGCCCCCTCAGCCCGGAAATGTCGAAAAAGGGCCCCCTCATACCGTACCTGGGCCCTCTCAGGTCTGAAATGGTGCCTGAAATGGGCCCATCTCAGCCCTCAAACGGGCCCTTTCTGGCCTCAAACGGGCCCTCTCTAGCCCCAAACAGGCCCTCTAGGGCATGAAATGGGCCCTCTCAAGCTTGAAATGGGCTCCCTCAGGCCTGAAATGGGCCCCTCTCAGGCCTGAAATGGGCCCTATCAGGCCTCAAACATGCCCTCTAGGGCCTGAAATGGGCCCCTTCAGGCCTGAAATGGGCCCTCTCAGGTCTGAAATGGGGCCCTCTCACAAATGGGGCCCTGTTTCAGGCCCTAGAGGCCTCAAACAGGCCCTCTAGGGCCTGAAATGGGCCCTCTTAAGCTTCAAATGGGCCCCTTCAGGCCTGAAATGGGCCCTCACAGACCTGAAATGGGCCCGCTCAGGCCTGAAATGGCCCTCTCATGCCATGGAACGGGCCCTCCTAGGCCTTGGATTAGTTCAATCGGGTCTTGGATGTACAGTGTACACTCTTAATTCATAAAATGGGACTATAAATCCTAAAGGGCTATCAGGCCTGAACAGTGGCGGCGGAAGGTATTCTAGGATAGGGGTGCAAACGATATTGAAGCGCCCCTTCCCGCTGGGCGCCCCTTATCATGTACACGGTTGTCGTAACACAAACAGTGAAGAGACGTTTGACAATGTGTTGTACCTGTTAACACGTTCAGAATTACAGTTTTTATGTAACGAGAAATAGTTAGGTACATTCCATAGCGTAAATGTAACCTTCATAATGTTCGTTTAGAAACAACCTCATCACCATATCATAAGATTCTCCGAATAAGGCATATCAAAAAGAGTTCCACGGTTCCAATACTTCGTGTGGACTAGTGAATAAGGCGCCGAATCCATAACACTAACTCGGTGACAGAGAATTGCAGGCCGGTAAGCAGCATGCCGCCTGGGCTGCACTGCACTATTGCATTCAGTGGTGTCATCAGTACCTATCACGTCAGCCCTTCGGAACCCGAGACTCTATGCCGAGACTAAGAGACTTCTATGAGATGATGTTTTTTCGTACTCCAGCGTAGATGGGTAGCCACACGGCTTCCACTGTTGACAGTGATGACATCAGTCATCTTTTGCAAGCTCGTTAAAGAATTTGGGCTGTACGGGGATTCGAACCCCGGGCCTTTGGATTAGCGCTCCAATGCTCTACCTCTGAGCTATACAGACCAAGTACTTTAACGAGCTTTCTGCCAAGTTTTATGCGGATCATTCTTAGGTGTTGTTTTTATCCGCTGGGACTGAGAGCGTGAGATGATGTTTTTTCGTACTCCAGCGTAGATGGGTAGCCATACGGCTTCCACTGTTGACAGTGATGACATCAGTCATCTTTTGCAAGCTCGTTAAAGAATTTGGGCTGTACGGGGATTCGAACCCCGGGCCTTTGGATTAGCGCTGCAATGCTCTACCTCTGAGCTATACAGACCAAGTACTTTAACGAGCTTTCTGCCAAGTTTTATGCGGATCATTCTTAGGTGTTGTTTTTATCCGCTGGGACTGAGAGCGTGAGATGATGTTTTTTCGTACTCCAGCGTAGATGGGTAGCCATACGGCTTCCACTGTTGACAGTGATGACATCAGTCATCTTTTGCAAGCTCGTTAAAGAATTTGGGCTGTACGGGGATTCGAACCCCGGGCCTTTGGATTAGCGCTCCAATGCTCTACCTCTGAGCTATACAGACCAAGTACTTTAACGAGCTTTCTGCCAAGTTTTATGCGGATCATTCTTAGGTGTTGTTTTTATCCGCTGGGACTGAGAGCGTGAGATGATGTTTTTTCGTACTCCAGCGTAGATGGGTAGCCATACGGCTTCCACTGTTGACAGTGATGACATCAGTCATCTTTTGCAAGCTCGTTAAAGAATTTGGGCTGTACGGGGATTCGAACCCCGGGCCTTTGGATTAGCGCTCCAATGCTCTACCTCTGAGCTATACAGACCAAGTACTTTAACGAGCTTTCTGCCAAGTTTTATGCGGATCATTCTTAGGTGTTGTTTTTATCCGCTGGGACTGAGAGCGTGAGATGATGTTTTTTCGTACTCCAGCGTAGATGGGTAGCCATACGGCTTCCACTGTTGACAGTGATGACATCAGTCATCTTTTGCAAGCTCGTTAAAGAATTTGGGCTGTACGGGGATTCGAACCCCGGGCCTTTGGATTAGCGCTCCAATGCTCTACCTCTGAGCTATACAGACCAAGTACTTTAACGAGCTTTCTGCCAAGTTTTATGCGGATCATTCTTAGGTGTTGTTTTTATCCGCTGGGACTGAGAGCGTGAGATGATGTTTTTTCGTACTCCAGCGTAGATGGGTAGCCATACGGCTTCCACTGTTGACAGTGATGACATCAGTCATCTTTTGCAAGCTCGTTAAAGAATTTGGGCTGTACGGGGATTCGAACCCCGGGCCTTTGGATTAGCGCTCCAATGCTCTACCTCTGAGCTATACAGACCAAGTACTTTAACGAGCTTTCTGCCAAGTTTTATGCGGATCATTCTTAGGTGTTGTTTTTATCCGCTGGGACTGAGAGCGTGAGATGATGTTTTTTCGTACTCCAGCGTAGATGGGTAGCCATACGGCTTCCACTGTTGACAGTGATGACATCAGTCATCTTTTGCAAGCTCGTTAAAGAATTTGGGCTGTACGGGGATTCGAACCCCGGGCCTTTGGATTAGCGCTCCAATGCTCTACCTCTGACTACGCTGGAGTACGAAAAAACATCATCTCACGCTCTCAGTCCCAGCGGATAAAAACAACACCTAAGTAAGAGACTTCTAGTTACTGCTAACGTGAAGTGAATAGGCTGAGGTTTATGGTGGGGGTAGCAGGTTTGTGACGCCCCAGTGAAATAAATGCCGCCTTTCAACACCGATAGGAGCCCGAAATGAATGAATACAGGCAATCAACGCTGGTAGGTGTCCCAGCGAAATGAATGCATCTATTACCACCCAGAGTGCCCCCATTTCAAACTAATACGACGGCGACGCCTCCACACCGATAGGGGCCCATCCCAGGGGAACGGAATAAATGCCGCCCCCTCATTGCCGGGCCCCCCAGGAGAATGAATGTTACACATCAACACCAATATGCCTCCCAGTGAAATGAATTATGAATGTCGCCTTTCGACGCCGGTAGGCGCCCCAGACACCAGTGGATTTACTGCCGCCTTAAAACACCGATAGGCACCTCAGTGAAGCGAATGCCGGCCTATACCACCGATAAGCGCCCCGGATGAATAAATACCACCCGTCAACGCCGATAGGCGCCTCAGTGAAATTAATGCCGCCCCAATCTCCGATAGGCGCCCCAGGTGATACATGTCGCCCATCAACGCCAACGGGCGCCCCATTGAAATGAATACCGCCCTTCAACACTGGCAGACGCCCCAGTGGAATGAATGCCGCCCCACAATGCCGATGGCCGTCCCTGCACTGGAAAATCAGTTTCGCCCCTATACAGGCGCCCATAGAAGTTGCAGAGTGCTATTCCTGGTCATAATCTTCTCCCCAGTAAAAAAAAAAACGCAAAATACGCCCTAGCACTAGGGATGTAACCGCCCATACGGACAGTGCAATTTTACAGGCCCCAATCTCGGACCTCCCTTAACATTCATATGTTGTAAAAGGCAAACCGCCCCGATAAATGTTACACAAACTAATTTCCTCTCGCATATCGGCCATCAGGCGCCCCTTTTTGTCGCATGGAGCCTGCAACGCTATAAGCCCTCATATGTTCGTGTTGGCGTTCGGAGGCTATCGCCTTCAAAGACGTCCCCATAAATGTTTGTTTTTCGTCCCACACACAGGCGCCCCTCTTTCGCATGCAGGCGCCCCTCTTCCGCATGGCGCGCTTCTCGAGTGGCTGCGCCCTCCTAACCTTTATCGCCTGGCAAGATTATATTCGACAGGGTCGGCAGCATCTGCCTTTGCTTCAGATAAGGATGCCCTCCACTCTTCAGCATATTAAAAGGTACTTTTCCCACGTCATTGCCACCCTCTTCGTGTCACAAGTCACTGCCTTTATCAGTTGCGGTGTCGCACTGCTCAGCTTTATGGCTGCCGCACCTCTTCCTCCTCTACAGATTTTCGAGGCGCCCCTTTCCATAGCTTTAGGGTGCAGCTGCCCCCCTTGCCCCCCTGCTTCCGCCGCCACTGGGCCTGAATACTGTTTTTCAGTCCTATGACGGACCTTGACATTATGATAAAAAAATGTCAGGCTGCATAACGTTACAGTTCGAATCGACGGTGGGCCCCTAGGATAAGAGACGGGGGTGAGATCTCACCCCTTTCACCCCCCTGGCTGCGCCACTGTTATTACCATACGCTGGCACTAGGGGGAGGGGCCCCACATCAGCCGCAGGGCAGTCCGTGCCATGACAGCATGTCTTTTCGGCCGATATTACATCGGTAATATTGATTAAAATCATGATTTTATGGTGCCATTATATAGCTGACAGTCATAAGAAATATATTTCAACTCGAAAACAGCTCGAAATAGCATATCATTTTAAAGAAACGAAACCCCTCCGAAATCCAAAAGCCTATTCGGGTCCATAGAGAAAAACTGTGGTCCCCCGCAATTTCGTCACGAGCGTCGGACCAATCAGCGTCGAGTACTGCTGAGCGCTGATTGGTGAATTTTCCGCTAGCGTGTAAGTACCGCTCGCGGAACAAGAGTTCGTCGACAATCCTCCACAAACGTCTGTCACCATTTTTCGTAATGCTAAACAGCCGGAGCGTACCCCCCTGCCCACGCTGCACGCGCTGCACGCTTACCCCCTGGATGTGTCTCCAACGAAGGCCGTATTCTCCAACAAACTTTTCGAATTATGTCTACTAGGAAAAGGAGTTCCGTAAGTAGGCATGCTGCTCTGAACTGCCTAGGGTATCTTTTTTGCTTGCCATGATAATGGTTATTGTAAGCACGCTGGGCTATGGCGATGTAGGTACCTACCACCTATGTCAATGTCACCGGCTTTTGTCAGTGTGGTGCAGGTTTTCTGATTCGAGGACAAATCACTTTCATTTCTTTCGCTGGCCCGGTCCGCATATTTATTCATGTCACACTTTTTTACCTTACATTTTGTAGAATGCAAATATCTTAAGCTAAATTCGGCACCATGAACGGGGATGACTGCCTTGCAGGGTGACTTTGCCATGCTTCTCAAAAAATGGTTTTGGGACATAGCCAGTGATATTTTACGAAGAATGTAATAAATTTTTGGTATTTATTTACTTTAGGTCTGCAAAACAGAGGGGTAAATAAAAGTCATTCACACGATACTCTAAGACCTCCTGATTTCATTTCTGATACTTATTCCTTCTAGAAACCAATTTAAAAGCACCAGTACACTAGTATCACCAGTATCACCACCAACGGTCCCACCTCCGACCGGAACTGCAGGTGTCTGCGCGGCGCACCCGCTACAAATGGTCCAACCAGGGTTGAGCGAAATTACGGATGATAATAAATTGTAAGGAAAGTGACGTCAAAATAATCGAGGCGGAGCGGTGCAGTGCCGAAGGCAATGCCTTAGGAGAGATTACAGGCAATGGTAAGTCAAATATTTTTAGGTTAAGTGGTTGTGTATCTGGCTTGCCTGATGCATAACCACTTAACCTTAAAATATTTGACTTACCATTGCTTGCAATCTATTCATGCAAGTCACTTTTTCCTTTTCCCCCAGTAGGCAAACATCAGTAGGTAGGTCAGGTTAGGTAAGGTTTGGTTATGTTCTGATCATTTTCTCATGCTCTATTACCTTTGCTAAATATTTTCTCTTTTTTATTCACCGTTTTTCTTGTGCTTTGGTATTATGACGTCATTTTCATAACGTCGAAAACTAATGAATATCCGCATCATTTTTTTCTTTTATAGGGCAGCGTTGTATGTTTCGTTTTTGTCGCGGAAGCGTGCTTTCTTCAGTGTGTATTGTGCAGCAGTGCGGTGAAATGTGCTGGGGTTTTAGTATCTTATTTTACATTTTTGATGCATTTAAGCATCATATCTGAATTCAGGACATCAAATAGTGTAAGAATGTGCATTTCTTCTTGTTAAAATAATATTGCGGACCTAAAGTAAATATTTACCTAAATTTTTTTGGTAAGAGAGGCCGATGAACCTAGCGTTTTCATTGTAGTTAATTCAATCTGGGTGGTGTTTCTCTGGTTATTGCTGCACGCTGCTATTCCAATTCTGCTGATGTCACACTTGTGGTAGTGTTGGAGCAATGGGCTTGTTGATGTCTCCATAGAAACCCAATTTGATACGTGTAATAGCAGCATGCTGCTATCACTGGTGAAACACCACCCTGATTAGTGTTGCAACATCTTATAAAACACTTCGGTATATGTCAAGTTTAGGTCCTAACTACAATTGTGGCGCTTTTGATACAAATATGTAACAACAAAAATTTTAAGTTTTAGGTTAGGTTAGGTTGTGGGCTTGTAGTTTTTAGGTTGTAGGTAGGTAGGTATGTAGGTGTAAGGTTGTTAGGTTGTAGGTTTGTAGGTTGTAGGTTGGTAGGTTATAGGTAAGTAGGTAAGGTTAGTTCAGATGTATTGAATGGTCGGTTTTGCCATGATGAAACAATTAAATATGGTGATGAAATTGACCAATAACATGGCAGTGAGATGTATTTTTACATAACAAAATAGGCCGAAAATATAGAACGAGCTTTCGTCTTACGACATCATCGGGTTCTGGTCCAGGGCTGTCTCATCCCTATCTCCGTAACGTGTCGTGTGCGACCAATGACGTCACGGCATTGCGGCGTTCTGATTGGGCGGCAGCTCTGAATCGCCCGACTGGTGGTCTCCGCTCGACAAGCGCACGTGCGCCGACTAGACATTTGTAGTGGCATTGACGGCAGAAAAAGTGAGGTAATGCAGAGCTCTGAATATACTTGAATAGAGTCTAAGCCGTTAGTAATACCTAAAAACGTCAAATAGATTTCTTGTTCGTCTTGATTTGAGCTTTTATGTGATATAACTTTTACCTTAGTGTCGAGGTTGGCAGCTATGTGGGAGAGCCCTAAAGTTGGGTCATTTTCCATAGGATTGCATTACAGCCGTCCGACCCTTCGTACCAGTGACGTCACGGAAATCGCTGCTTCGGCCTAATGAGCATACCTTCTATATAGGGCCTTGGTTCTGGTCTAGCCGAGGCAATCACATTTGAAAAATTGAAACGGAACCAAATATTCACACGTGCACATTGGCCCAGATGGCTTTTGGAGGTCATGTAGCAACGCGCATTGCGCAATTGAAGCGTACACTTAACAAAATCTAATACAAATATAGGTACAAATAGATACAATATTTAAACAAGAGCAGACCGCAGCACGCTCGCCGTCACATTCCACTATACATCACACACCACACACACATATACCAATATTTGTCCATACAGATATGTGGACTGAGGTCATATAGGCTACACAATTATCCTTACAGTTTTCATAGTATACTACATCGTATACCAGTGGTCATCTAGAACTGGACTACACAAGTGTGTGTGTGAGGGGGGGGGGTTGTGTGTTTGTGTTGGTTGCTTGCATGTTATAACCTAGTGTGTTAAAGGCCAAGAGCTTTGCATTGTGTTCAGGCTGGGCCGAAGGTTTCTTATGTGGATTGATTCTATTATCTTTACTTCTGCGCAATCTTTACCTGTATCCAGAATTTCTATGCGGAAGGAGTTTTTAATGTCATTATTGGAAAGGTCGTTGTCAGAGTGCAAGATATGCTCACCTAGCGGTGTGTCTAGCTTTCTTAGACGTGCGTCACTTAGATGTTCGTTGAATCTGTAGCGAACTGGTCTCGTGCACTCTCCTATGTAGGTTTTAGCACGTTCTGCTGCCTCGCATGGCTTACATGTGATTTTGTATACTGCGTTTCTTGTGCTGCATTTTTTCTCGAGTCCATTGGAACAGGCATGACAATGTCTGTTGCCGGCGGGACAGGGAGGACGGGTGAGTGCTGATGAGATCAATTTCCCTTGAAGTGAGTTTTTGTTCGTCCATACCGGTTTAATAGGGGCTTTAGCCCCACGAAGGATGCCATTGACGCGGCGGACTATTGTCTCGTTAATGTACGGTAGCCTCATATAGACTTGTGAGTTGTGCTGTGCTGTGTTGCGTTTTTCTTTATGTGTTTGTTTGTGACTGTTGTTTCTGTTCTTTTTTATGGTGCTCCTAATCATACTGTCTGGATAGCCGTTTTCCCTGAATAATGTCGTAATAGTGTTGAGGCTGCGCTCCATTGTTTGTAGATCCGATGACACCCGCATGGCTCGCTGGACTTCTGAGTTTAGCACTGCTCTTTTCGTAGACATGGGGTGCGCAGAGGTGAAATGGAGGACGATAGGAGCTGTCATCGGCTTAAAATATAATTTTGTGGAATAAGATCCCGAAGGGTCGACCGTCAGCAAGGTGTCCAGAAAGGCTATCTTCCCCGAAGTTAGTGTGTGCTCTATGGTAAGCTTAATGGCCGGATTGTGACTGTTCATGATGTTAAAGAAATGACTGAGGCGGTCGATACCATAGGTCCAAATTCCAAGAATGTCATCTATATAGCGTACATAGAAGACAGGTAGCTCTGATAGTTTGGCTAGAAAACTTGTCTCAAATGCATGCATGAATGCAATAGCAACAGGAGGTGCTAGGCGGTTGCCCATTGCTATTCCAGAGTTCTGTTTGAAGATTTTAGAGTCAAACCGCACATAGTTGTTGGTGAGTACGTGCGTGAGGAGGGAACGGATGTCAGTAAGAGAGATGTTAAAAGTGTTTATCTTAGCTAAATTGGATTCCAGCAAGCTAATCACTGCGTCTATGCCCTCCTGAATGGGGATACTTCCATAAAGATTACAGACGTCTATGCTGAATATAATGCTTTTGGGGGGCAGGCCATTCGGAAAGGTATCGCGCAGGCGGGTTAGGTAGGTTTGCGTATTGGAGAGGTGGGATGGAACGAATGATAAGAGTTGAGTCAGGATACACTGTAACAGCCATGAAAGCTTATCAAGCGGGTCCCCGCAAGCTGATACGATGGGACGTAGCGGGTTACCGGCTTTGTGCGTCTTAGGTAGGCCATAAAACTCGGCGGTCCTGGAGTGCTGTGGTAGAATTTTTCGCAGGTAGTCATCCGGTATCTTGTCTTTGAGAGTTTTTTTTTTCATGAGAGTTTTGGTTTCTTCTTCCAGTTTTATCGTGGGATTTTTCGTTGTGATTTCATAGTTCTGAATGATGTCTTCTGCTTTGGAAATGTATTCTGTTTTATCCATGAGAACGAGATTTTTACATTTATCCGACTTCTTTATGATGGTTTCATCGTCTTTTTTCAGAATAGCAAGCTCTTGTTTCTGAGAAGGAGTGTACCGGGTGGCCCAAAAAAACGTTCCGAACTTTGGAGGCCTATATCTCAAAGTTGAGTGCAAATAACGAGCCAAAATTCTCATCACGTTTACGTCACTTCTTTGCGCATTAGTATGCCAAATTATAACACTCTATCATCATTTTCAAGCCAGCATTCTTATGTTGAATTAAGTAAGACGTTTTTGCTTTTTTTGCCGATGTTGGACGGTAGTGATGATTGGCTTTAGACGTACCATGTTAGGAAAAAAGAAAAATGGAACACGTGAATGAAACCAGCACGTGTGTTGTTATTTTAAATATTTTTGTCCCACTTATGTGCCGAATATTCCAATACTGAGCCAAAATGGTGTTAATGGATGCCATTCGTTTCAACACTGAGTCCTGTTTCGAGCAGAAGGAGTGGCGCGGTGCATGGGTTACTGTTGATTGCCCTCCCTTCAAGAAGATCAAACAGTAAATCGACCGAATAAGGAAAAAAGCTA